CCAGAAACAACTGCAGCAGCAGCAGCAGCAACAGCAACAGCAGCAGCAGCAGACCGAGGAGTATCAAGACCCGCTGCTGCACCTGCAGCAGCAACAGCAGCAGCAGCAGCAGCAGCAACAGCAGCAGCAGCAGCAGCAGCAGGAGGATGACCCCTGCAAGGAGGGGCCCCTCTTTAGTAATGTTATTTGGACAGCTGGGGAGACGCACGGCTTCTATGCTGCTGCTCCTGCTGCTGCTGCTGCTCCTGCTGCTGCTGCTGCTGCTCGTGCTGCTGCTGCTGCTCGTGCTGCTTCTGCTGCTGCTGCAGCAGATGCTGCTGCCGGCATCAGCAACGAGACAGCAGCCTTCATCAGGGATATGCAAAAGGGAATAAGCAGCAGAGCTCCTGCTGCTGCTTCTCCAGGTGCTGCTGCTGCTGCTGCTGCTGCAGCAGATACAGCAGCAGGAACGCAGCAGCGGGACAAGCAAAAGCAGCAGCAGCAGCAGCAGCAGCAACAGCAGCAACAGCAACGGCAAGATCCAATATCTTGGAATTTTGAGTCGGATGATGAAATGGAAGAAAGAGACAGCAGCAAACCACCAGCAGCAACTGCAGCAGCAGCAGCAGCAGCACCACGTGCTGCTGCTGCTGCTGCTGCTGCTGCTGCTGCTGAGGGCAGCGCGCTGTGGACGAAGGAGAACTACATCCGTCTGGTTATCCAGCGAATGAGACGCGGTGGGAGTTTCATGCAGCAGCAGCAGCAGCAGCAGCAGCAGCAGCAGCAACTGCAGCAGCAGCAGCAGCAGCAGCAGCAAGCAGCAGAAGTGCGTCGCACGAAGATGCTCCTCAGGAACTTCCAGCGGCCAGACGCTTTCACAGATGACCTCAAACTATAAACTTGCTGCTGCTGCTGCTGCTGCTGCTGCTGCAACAAATGTTGCTGCTGCTGCTGCTGCATATGCTGATGCTGCTGCTGCTGCAGCAGCAGCAAATGCTAATGTCGCTGCAGCAGCAAATGCTGATGCTGCTGCGGCTGCAAAAAAGCTGCTGC